TAATATAATATAATATAATATAATATAACATTGTGGGATTGAAATCCCTATGTACTCACCAGGTTTCCCAACCTGACCCACTCAGTTTATTTGTATCATAAGTGTCGATATGAAGCTACATTACACTGAGAGATTAAGGAGATGTAGATCACTAGTGTAAATGAATGTAAAGGTCTGTTTATGCTTATGTTTCTGTATTGACGATGATATCCCAACGTTTTAAAAGGAATAAAATACATTTATTCGGAAATGCTTTGATAACGTATTTATCATGTTTTTCTGGGGACAAATTCCGCAACATATTTCTTTAAAAGATACTTTGATTTTTAAAATAAAGCATAAACAAATCGATCTTCTTTTTCCGTAAAAATGGGGATTGTGACAGACCAATTGACGAACCAGTGCTTGGATTTGTCTATTTTCAAAGAAATACAAACAAAAAGGACTTCTTCCGAGTCCTCGAAAAACATTTGGTCCCCTCCAAGACGCTTCGGAAATTCATCAATCGTGCATCCAAGTCCGAAGCACCAAAACATGTTATAGACAAGCTTATAAGTCAGCTGCAATGGTACATTGAAGTCGGAGATTGGTTATACATGGCATATATGTTCATCAAGGAAGATTCAAACCATGCTGACTGGATTGCTAAGTTCACTTAGGGATAGATTGTTGGAAGCTAAAAGTGAACCTCTAGCAAACTCTAATCTTTGGATGTTCTGAAGTCGGTCTTAGATCCGAAGTTGAATGAGGTATGAGATCAGTCTGTGGATAAAGATGAAGTTGGTGTCCGGAGTAGAGATAATGGTTCGAAGTGAAGAAGTCTTCCGAGATAGTGCATCTGTCTAAGCATTAATTATTCTTGTCTTTTACTTGATGTAATAGTACATAGGACTTAGCCTTTTGTCAAATGGGATAATCAGAGTTGCAGACATGACTCTTGTATCCGGTACTGTGTATGTATTTTGGTTTGTACGATGTACCACTTTCTCCTATATAAGGAGTGATTCATGACAAGAATAGTAGATGGACTGTTGCTCCAAAGATAGATATACTCACATGTACTTCACTTTCACTTCTCTCTCAAATCACTCCTTCAAACATTCTTTGTGTTCATTTTTTGTCTTTACCTTGATTATACTCATAGTTTCATATTTAATACTTGAAGTACTTTATTGATCTTTCTCTTCAGTCTCGACTGGTCTTACCAGACTTAACTGGAACACTTAATCAGAAGCAGACATTGATCTTAAGCATTAACTCAAGGTTTGAGTTTTCAAGCGTTGTCCCAGCACAATCAGATCCTTGTTCTCATAGCTAGGATCGAAAATAAAGAAAGAGGAATAGGAGATTTCAAAATTCATTGTAAGAATCCATGATTTTTTAGTTTTATGGAGGTTCCTATATATACTTGTAGGAAACCCTGATTTAAATATAAAATATTAATAAAATATTCCAAATACTTAACAATTTTCTTGTTTACCAAGGCAAGCTTCTAGAAACCCTTTTAAGGGCTCCTAAAATTGTACCCTATAACGAGGTTCTAGAATGCCTTCTTGTTAAACTATTGAACAATTGCATTCTAACCCCTTAGACTTAATAATTAATTCTAATTAATTTAGCCCAATTAATTAATTCTTTCTGATTTATTCTTAATTAATAATTTCAGTTTCTAATTAATATATCAATCCCATAATATATTAACAAATAAATTATCTCTCTTCTTTCTCTCTCTCTCATAATACATCCAAGCGATTTTCTAATGATGAGGGCAACCCAAAAAGGACTAGACTATTATTAATCAATTATAACAATTTAGTTAAGACCTTAGACACCCTAATACAACAAATTCATCATGAGTACCACATCCATAACATTCATAATATCTAGGCTCTTTTAGATTGCTAATCTTTCGTTCTTTTTACAATGCCACAAATTCAACATTACATCTCTAGAATGACTAGTATGGACCGACACACCAAAATCTATGATCCAAGATTAAGTTATGTTTTTGACTACACGAAGGAGTGTATCTCTATTAGAGTCTATTATGATATTCATCTCCTTTCCTTTATAAAGAGGCTTCATACAATGATTCTTGAAATGACCATTGTCTCTGTAGTTCCAACATGAAATGCCCTTCATGGTTTCCAATATAGCTCTCATTCTTGACTTTGATCTTCCTCTACCCCTACCCTTTGTGTTAGGCTTCCTTCCATTATCTTTAATACTTAGAATACCATTGGAGGAATCTCTGGAACTCCGTCTACATACATCCTCGCCAAGGACATAATGGTGAATGCTTTTGAATGTTAGCTTAGCACATCCGATTGAGATACTACTGTACCGTACCAACTATCAGGAAAAGAAGAAAATAGTTGCAATGTCAAAACTTCACCCTCGAATCAATATCAACCAACATCAACCTTTTAATGAATAAATTGGATTCATTAACATTATCCATCACTAATCCACCCTCCTTCATCTTCAGATTCACCAACTATCGAATCAGAAAAACATCATTTGTTGTTGAAGGTTTTTCATACATGTTAGATATCACATTGATCAACCCATGAGTAATCCGATTGAGATGCTACTGTATCGTAAAGAAAACAGTTTCAATGTCAAAACTTCATCCTCGAATCAATATCAACCAACATCAACCTTTTGATGACTAAATTGGATTCATTAACATTATCCATCACTAAGCCACCCTCCTTCATCTTCAGATTCACCAACTATCGAATCAGAAAAACATCATTTGTTGTTGAAGGTTTTTCATACATGTTAGATATCACATTGATCAACCCACGAGTAATCCTATTATTGACAATGTTGTAAGGTATATTGCTTTCCAATGGTAATCTCACAACACCAAGTACCTTTCGATCTAACAAGTTTCACCCATCTTGCTCCATTTCCTCTGGTTTTCTTCCTATCAAAGGAACGTGCAACTTTTTCCAGATAGAGATATTCTTCTATTTACATTCTCCAAATCTGAAATTGCGACCATCATATTTTTTGATCTTAACTTTACAATCTTCAACAACTTAGATACCAATTTGTTAGGAATTAACAAAAAAAAAAGTTAACCACTTCAGACAAAATGATAAACAAATTTTAGTAAAACACATCGAATAAAACTTCTAAAAACTATAATAAAAACAAAAAAAAGCATTTAACGTGGTTCGTCAACCTAACCTAAGTCTACGAGAGAGAGAGAGAGAGAGAGAGAGAGAGAGAGAGAGAGAGAGAGAGATGGGGTGAGCGGATTTTATTAACTTCCAAGAATAATTACAATTACTCACAAAGTTGCACCTCACTTGGTCTCTTAAAAAAGAATCTCTCTTACTTACAAATTGCTCCAAAGGATGTGCTATCAACCTCAAAATGATTGTTCTGCTGTGCCATGTAAAGTAGCAATGAATAATGATGTGATATGTGTCTATTTTTAGGAAAACATGTGAAACCCTAATTCGGGCTAGATCTACACATAATTAGCTCATGAAGATAATGCCCAAATTGTCAACCAATCCCGAGACGCCTTGCAACCCCTTCAAAGATGTTCAACCTTGAAGGATGTGCATGGCAACCGGTTATGCTTGTATGAGTGTATCATGTCTATCCCAATGCATCATATGGGTACATTTAGCTACTTGGAGCACGTTCTCCTTGAGAACTTCACTAACAACACATTCTTGGATCACCTCAACGCATTTGCTCGGCCCAAGGGCACATCAACAGACCAATGCATCGATAAGGGCACATTTAGCACTAATGGAGGGCACCTTGATGACCAGGAGCACATTTGGCTAAGGTTGGGGCACATTTGTTAATGCTCCAACCCATAGAACAAAAGCTCTAACTCTTTCTTCAAGTACCTAATCACTTAAAAGACTCAACATGTTTTCGCAAAAGGGATATTCTTACCAAGGGACTCACCTAGAGAGCACCTTTTCTCACCAAGAGCACATTTGCTCTAGTCTTTACACTCCAACGGCAGTGACAGATTAAAAGTCGACGATGCAGCAGGATGGAATTGGAAGATCTAATATTTAAAGGGGAAGGTGATAGTAGGGGCACGATAGTGACAATACATGGGTTAGAGAACTCAGGTCAATTTGGGAAAATCGAAGACGTCGGCGAAGATGGTTTTTGTGTCGTTTTGGTAGCAGTGGAGTAGGTGGTGGTGGCATTGATCTTTTCTGGTGGTGGAGATAAAGGTTGCTGCCTCTCATGGAGTTTCTGATCATGGAAGAGAGAAAGGGAGCATCCATATCTTGTGGAAACATATTATAGAGGGGAGGGTCCATGGGGTGCTATGTTTTTTTCCCAATTTCATTTTATCTATAAAACCAGTCCCTAAAAGTTAGAAGATATCTTAAAATCTAAAAAGTCAAAATAGTGTCATTTTCATTATTTTACATGAACTTAACAGAGAAATAGAGACTGTAACGACTGGAGGGACCATTCCTGATGAATTTGCCAACACAAAATTTTAAAACTATGACCAAAACTACATAAAAAATGCCTGTAAATTACTCTTTTTTAATTATTTGTTTGTTAAGGCACGAGTCGTCGACGACAAACACAAACGCAGATAAGCAAGATAAGCAAGATGAGTTAAGGAACCAACGTACCACCAGCTCCTCTTTTTTCCCTTCTTCCACCACCCGCCGGCAACTCCACCAATAAAAATTAAAATATATCATATTATAAACTGAAATCAGGGAACGTCGCTCCCATTAACCTTCATATATATGAAGTCAAAGTTTATTTATCATTTTCCAGTATTGTCTGAAATTACTTAAACATAACATTAGCTTCTTTCCTACGCTATCATATCCAAGAACATCAACACCGGATTTTTCAAGAAAACTCCACGTTCAACCAAAAATATGTACATATCTCCTTCCGAGTTTCGATCGATTAGCATTTCTATATACTGCATATCCCGATTAATAGACGATAATTTACAAGTGCTAAGAACTCAATCAAAGGTATCAGCTACTTATCTCATAGAGTTCCATAACAGATCGAAACTTCTTCCACTTCCTTCTCCTGCTTCCGGTGACATCACTATTCTCATCCTCATCGTCTCCCTCCGCTTCAAATCTCGGAACAAAGAATCTTCTCACAGCCGAAGTTATATCAGAGGTACTACTCCCTTGACTTTCGTCATGATCACCAACGACTTCCTTCTTTCTCTTCATCGATATTGTCGCTAAAATCTCGCCGGAGGAAATACTGAGTCTGTGACCCTGAAGATAAGCGTCGGACTCGCCGCTGAGTTGGATAAGTTGCAACGCCGCTTCCACCTCCGGCTCCGTGAATCTCGATTTTTGTTTCAGGTGCGTAGTAGGGTTTGATGAAGATTTTTCCATGAGTGTTAGAGTGAGGGGAGATTTTTTTTTGTTTGTGGTTTTGGATTGGTGGAGAGTTAAGTAAAACGGTATAATTTCAATTAAAAGGGTAAGACACGTCAGCAGCTTCTTCACCGACCTAAGAGGTAATGGCGGTGGGGCCATTTAAAGGTTACGTGTCTTGCTTCGCAATACGTGAAATTTTAAATTTATTTAAACCATTAAGGCGGCTACTTTCTTCTTTTTATCCTGATAATCCGGGTTATCGGGTTATGATCTTCACCCAATTGGGTGATTTCTTGGCCCAATACGTTTTTAAAAAATGTTTACTAAATAAGAAAGTTATGAATACCTACCCTCTAATTTCACCTATACACGAGTTGTCTCGTGTGTACATGAAAGCATAAATTTTGTTCGTACGTTGCGTATTTTCATCGCTTCTTTCAACTTTTTCTATATTTTATTTATTTGTTGCGTTTTTGTCTGTGATGAATAGAGTCACATCATACAATTTACAAACGAGCACCTAGCGAACTTGGAAAAACTTGTGACTCTTACAAATGAGCAATAATGAAATCGTATAAATTCCATCATAAGGTCCTGGAATGACGATCTCTCAATCACTCTTACAAATTATTTTGATACGCAACGCTACTGACTATCAACTATAGATCTATTGGAGAAGCTATGTTGAGACAACAAGGACACGGAAGCCTCTAACTCGATAGCAAACTCCAAACCCATATTGATTGAGGAGTCAACTATTACAAAGTATTGCATGCGAATTAAAATCATTGCTGATTTGTTGAAACGCTTCGACACTCAGGTTTTATACAGTTCAACCATCTCAAGTTGATCGCTAGTCAACCAAACTATTTTCTTGTTAGACTTGTTATAGTGAAGGTGGAAATAATAGACTTGGCCATGCAACTTCTACTCTAGTGGCCAACAACTTGAGTAGAAGGCGTAGAAGGCAGATGATCACAACAACATCCTACATCTAGGGTTGTTCCAAACATATTTGGATCTGGAGAGAAAGAAAAAAAACATTAAATTATACAAAAATTTCATCAACTTTTTTATATTAACTCGATATGTTAATGAAAATTACTTATACTAACATTTATATATAATAAAGTTTATAAAAATTTTGGACATTTTAAAATATGTGTTCTATCGTCCACCTCCGAAACGGACCTGCGTGCGCCCTTCCAACAACCTTGGGTAGCTGGCTAGAACCCAAATTAGTAGGCCTTTCTGATGATTTGCTACGCCAAGTAAAATGGGTTCCAACCCATTCTACTTTTCTATGAATATGGACAATCCAAAAATTAATATATATTTTTAAAATTACATCGGAGAAAGTTCAAAATTAATAAACATGTATTGCAAAGGTTCGAACTCGGGCAAATGGTATATGTGTAAAATTAACCAATTCTCAGTCGACCTAAGCCCGCATAGAATATTCTTTCAATTACTTTATTTCTATCTATAATTATTCGAGCCAAGACTATGGGGTAACCACTATCATAATCGACCTAGAGCCTCATCTTATTCGCTAGTCTCCTTTGTTTCAAATATAATCTTTAACATCCATAAGAAATTACCTCTTATCTTTTATATATATAAATATTTTTAAATTATGATAAATAACATTATTTTATATTTTTAACCATCTATATGCTAGAAATATATCAAATAAAATTAAATTGAATAACAGAATAATAACATTTAGCATAAAAGATAGGATGTAATTTAATTTCTCAATATCCATACAATCCACCTTAATTATTATGTAAATTTTTTTTAACGCCAGGATAATTATTATGTAATCTAATCACTCAAAATAAAAAATTTATATTCCAATACTGAATATTTTTTGAACATCGATATATATTTTCTAAGTAAAACACACGTATTACATCTTGTGAGCATAATCATAAATTTATTCGAAAACTTTAATATTTTTACTAAAGTGCACTACTGTAACGTTCTTGCATAAACTCATTTTCAATTTCTTTTAAATTTTATATTTTACTTGTTTGATCATTTATGATATAATATAATTAAAATCCACTTTTTTAGATAAATAAGGTCCAAGCTATCTCCGGAAAATTTCTAATATCGATTGTTTTTACGTGCAGAATTAGTGTATAAACATTACTTTACATAAAGTATAATCAAAATAAGATTATCTCTTTTTGGTTCATCTATTTGATTGATTAATACATTTATGATTTAAAGAGTCAAAACTATGCCACATTATATAGTTGTTAAAAATAGAATTTTTAAGACATATATAATTTATTTTGACATAAAGTTATAATATAACAAGGATTAAATTATTCATAGAATTCTTGTAAAGAGTACGTAATACCAATGAAAAAAAAATTAAGATTGTTATTTGTCTGTTGGAATTCTGAACTCTGTATTTTCCAACAGAATAGTGTCCTTGTAATTCCGTCGTTGATTTGTCGCAGAATCATGGTTCCTTTTGTCACTGATCTATCGATAATTACTGACAAACCTATTATGTCCATAAAATCTATCGGAAATAAGAGGCCCTTCTCGTAGTGTTTTAATAAAACATAGTATTTCTTAATATTTTTATTAAATTGTTGTATTTTGAGACATATTCCTCGATTATATAATTTAAAATATATAAGCAAAAAGAATTGCACGTAACCGAAGATCGAGTTACAATTAATTTCAACACGAAAAATAGTTGACCACTTAACGATACATCCAAGAATAGTTTAGACCATTCTTGGTTGTTAAGAATTCATTGACGTTGCATTTAGCCTTTTCCGAGTCAACAAAAAAATGTTGATATTAAAGAACACTAAACGAAACCCATTCATATAGCGATTACTCGTATATATGTGTTTTCAAATTAATCTAATTCTTTCACCTTCGTGTTATTTAAAAATGAAAAAAAAAAAAAAAAAAAAATTGACTCGTTAATGGCAATTACATATAGGAAAGTGGGGTACGTTACGCAACAGGACATACGGGAACCAAAAGCACAGAAGCCAGGTGAAATAACATCGATAACTACAAAATATACAAAGTTGTCTAACGCTGTAAAAAGATCATGATCATATCCTAGCAGGCTAGCACTAGAATTCAAAATATATCAGCGTTCTTTATTTGTATCTATTATCTCCTCGATTGTTTGTAAAGAACGCTTTGATATTGCATCATTTTGAAAATCTTGAAATAAAGTAAGAACGTAAACAAATTAAGAAAGCTATTAGTTTCAGAAGATGAGGAAAATTCAAAATTGATCCTTAGGATAAATTGTAATGTGTTACATGGGGTTTAGAGGGGGCAAAGTGGGCAGCTGTACAGGGCCCAATTTTTTTCATTATATATTTTTATTTAGAAATACAAAATTATAATAAAGATAAGGACCTTTTTTTCTTGTTCGTTCTGGACCTTTAAAAATATTTCATTTTTCAGGACCGGTGCCTTGATGTGTTGTAAATTACTGGAGTTCAAAAGTTATGAATACATAAGTTGACTCGTGTAATTCATCCACATCAATTCCAGATCTCTTTTTGTGTAAAATGGTTGTAGATATGGGATCCTCTAGCGATCGATATGGAGAGGATGAAATCCATATAGTATGTGTCAATCAGAGGTATTGCCTCGATCGTTTTCTTAAACTGTTGTTGGATATATGTGCATGCATGTCGTCAAACTTTTTCTAGACTTCTATGCTTGTGCATCAAAGCTTAAACCCTCAGTATGTAGAATAAATATCAACAAAAACAAATAACATATCTGCATTCATCGTGTTCCATTACTTGGATGTAAAATATATTAACCATAACATTAGAAAAACATATAATATACTTTACATCCTTCGATCTGTCCATATATATACTTAACATTAAATCATAAAATTACTCGTTGTAATTCTTCTAAAATGATATAGATATACCGATCAAATCCTCCTAGTGACATGGTAAATATCAACTATGGATCGCAATCTATGATGTTGTAATCTTTGAACTCTTCCTTCATTCTCCATTGATGATACAATCGATATCCCAGATTTTATGGTTTCAGCGGACGAAGATGATGATGAAGAAGAAGTGACTGATTTTACATCTCTATCATTCTTAGGTTTAACATTAATATCTTCTAGTCCATAGTCTTGAATCCTCTTCTTCTTCTCCATGATCATCCTGGACCCAACATCGAGACTACCACTATTACCAGTACAGCGATCATTGGATTCATTAGATTGTTGAAGAGGATTGCTGAGTAGAATCAAATGGAAAGCAGCAGCTTCCAGTAATTGTTGTTCCTTGCAGTTGGACTTGGATGATCCCATTAACACACAACATTCACTCATTTCATGATTTTTCCTCTTCCTCTCCGGCTCAACAGTATCCGCTAATATTCTAGGATTCTCAGTAACATGTTTTCCCATCAATTGCTATTCTTCTTCTTTCCTTAGCCACCGCTACTGGTTGTAATCGAACCTTATAGAGAGAGAGAGAGAGAGAGAGAGAGAGAGAGAGAGAGAGAAGAGAGAGAGAGAGAGAGAGAGAGAGAGAGAGAGAGAGAGAGTTAAAGGGCGTAGGTGGAGGGAATGTGAGAGGAAAGTAGGAGGAAACCGCGTGTATTGTGCGAATGAAGGTCGTGTTCATGAGTCATGACTTTCTACCCGACGCGGATACTTCATCCTTACTTTGAATAACTTAATTTTCCAAAAATACATATGGAACTCCAAAAGAAGAAAAGAAATGCAAAACACCCGATGCATGGTCTAGGAGACTAGGAATTCCTTTCATGTCACATGAACTTCTTTGTTTGTAAACAATGTATTTTTCTCGATCAACACATTTATATCTATATATTATTTATATATTTCTATAATAGCCATCGTTCAATAAATGTGATCAACTTTAAATATTTACTTTTCACCCGATTAATTTGAATTTGCTTTTTAATATATATATATATATATATATATATATATATATATATATATATATATATATATATATATATATATATATATATATATATATATATATGGGAAAAATGAATATACTTTTAGGGGTATATAAGCTTAGGTACCCAAACACACAATAATACGTTGTTTTGTTTGATATATTCATTATAATGTTTTTGAACTTCAACCCCTAACT